CGCGTAGATTTTTGATAGATCGTGCTTGGGATGCGTATGCAGCAGTCATCAGGGAGGCACGAACGACGCCGCTCGGCAGGGGAATACGTTGATGACCATGACCCGTCGTTAGCCTTGAGTAATTTTCTTCCGGAGGGGGATCACCTTAAGCTGCGTCTGCACGTGACACGGAATGCGAATCCGGGTACGCATAACACCCCAACGGCATCGGAGGTGGCAGCCGTTGTGATCGATACAAACGCGGCTGAACATCGGGATATAATCCTACACACGACAGGAGGAGGTTTCAAGCGCATCTTTGAGACGAGCGTTACCTACGACCCGCTGCAGTACCCTCTACTGTTTCCGTACGGGGATAATGGCTGGACTTACGATATCCCCTACGTTGGTAATCCCGTCGATCGCCACGGTGACCCCTTAACCATGTCCGTTCGGGAATATGAGGCGTATCTGCTTTACGACCGGACGGTTAGTAATTCGCTTATCCTGCGCGGTGGGCGACTGACGCAGCAATACTGCGTTGACCAATGGGCCAAATGCGAACAAGAGCGCCTGCGCTTCATCAAGAAGAACCAGCTCCAGTATCGATTGGAAACCCTCCAGGGACTCACGGACGCGTTGCGTGGCGAGTCTGTTGAAATCCACAGAATGGCAGCTGACGACGAGGCGGCCATACGTAGGACTCGGCGTGGGAATTATACGGAGCAGGAGTCGGCGGAGCCAGATGCGGGTGAGGTTGGACGCAAGATAATTATACCTCCGAAGTTTACAGGTGGTCCCCGCTACATGTACCAACGCTTCTTGGATGCCATGGCTATCGTCCGTGAAACAGGAGCCCCGAACCTGTTCATTACGATGACATGCAACCCGAACTGGCCTGAGATCAAGGAAAACTTACGCCGTGGGGAAAAGGCATCCGACCGACCGGACATCGTGGCCCGCGTGTTCATGGAGAAACTAAAAGCTCTTAACAAGGATCTCCATGAGGGTGTGCTGAAGATCAA